CGAACCAAATGGTATTCAATTTCTATTCGGTTATATATATTTCATAAACTGAACCGAAAACCTGATTAGGCAATAGGATAACCGTTTGTTACCTGATGGTTTCGAGAGGGAAGGCAGTGAAGGGCGACCAAGTGGTGCTCTTTTAGAAAGCTGCCGATCTCTTTGTCGCCTAAAAACCAAGAACCAAACGATAACGAAACATAAACCAACAAAAGCAGCTGCTGACAAAACAATCACAGCAATACTACCGGCATTGAGCTCTTTCTTCTTAAGCTTCTTCGGAACATCAACTCCAAGCGGTTTAACTGCCCTTCCGTTATTATTACCAGAGTAAGGTCCTTGATCGATAATGGTCATACCAGAAGTTGGCGGAGAAGCTGGTAAACCAGGATAACGCACGTAAATAACATCATATTCGCCAAAGATCGGTGCATCTATATAGACTTTTTTACTCCAAAATCTCTGGTAAGTCAACATTGCAGTCAAGTTATCGAATTTATCTCCGAGCGGGACTAAGTCGATAAGAACAATGGATTTCTCAGGATGTTCGCTAGCCGCGTTAGCTCCCATTATACGGACTTGACTCTGTTTCATGAAAACTCCAGCGCCAATTTCCCGAGCAAATTCTGAAACCATTGGGAAGAAGTCGTAGAGCGCCATACTAAGCCGTAGCTCAACCTGAATCGGCCAGACACAGCCACATGGAGATCCCGGAGGTGTGTTTGTGTACGGTTCCATGCAAATAGTTGAAGAACAATCTGCAGAACACAACAACAGGAAGTGGTTTCACACTGAAACAAGAACCAGACAAAGACAGTTATGTCCCCCAAAATAACCAGGATGTTTTTTTCTCTAAATACCTGAATTAGGGGGAGGAGGAGGAAATGCTTGAAGAGGTGGACCGAGTGGGAATTTTCGAGATTTTGAGGGTCTTGTAGAGGACCTGAGAGGAAAAACTTTAGGAGAAATAAACAGCATTTAGGATTTCACATCAATCAAAGAGGTAAAAAAAAGAT